ATAACAAATGTAAGGATTATTATGTGCATACCCTATCAAGCTCTCTATTCAAGATCTTTATTGCCACTTTATTGATTCATGGCCCCACTGAACTTAAAGAGTAATTTACAAATTTAGGTCTGTGAATCCAGGTCTTTAATATATACAAAGAACAGGAAGAGTCCTTGTACAGATCCCTGAGGTGCCCCTCCTAATACCTGACACCATTTTGACCTAACTCCAACAACAACAAATCTCTACTTCTTTCTCTCCCTTCAGCTAATTCTAAATCCATGTCAATGTCCATTCTCTTGATACCCAGTGACCACAGTTTCATATCATGCTTTGTCAAATGCCTTTTGAAAGTTTAGCTACACCTTGTCATATGGCTTCCCACAGTCAATTTGGAATGGTACCACTTTGAAAATGTGTATGAGGTTGGCCAGATAAGTTCTACGCTTTCTGAACCTGTGTTGGTTGTTAATCATTAAAATTTTTATATAATCCACCCTTATATCACAGTCAGCACAGGATAATGGTCTCTACACTTTTCAATACATCCTGTGAAGTACTTTGAGATGGCCTCTCAATTCGAAAGGTGCTGTATCAAATATAAAGATGATTAGTATTATTAGCCAATAATCCCCTCAGTTTCACAGTTACCAAAGCTATAGTCAACAATCTTCTCCTTGTCCTAATCACCGAGGGTATAGGCAGCAATCTCCTCTATATCACGGTCATGTGGGAGGGAAGCATGTGAGAGAGTACTTCTACCTACTTAATGAATTTCACTAACTCAAGACACAAAATCAATTACCTCTGATGAACCTCAAGCCCGACACAATGGTAGACAGGGTCTACATAGGGCTCAAACTTTATTGGTAGAGAAGCCCCACCTCATCTTTGCCACCCCAAAAAGTAACAAGATCTTCATCATTCAGGAACAAAAGATAAAGCAGTAAAAACTGTTTGCATTAAGTATAGTGTGTTCAGAACATGCGTGCACACATACACAATACATACAATTAAAAGTTCCACTCGGACAGATTCAAAATAAGTGCTAGCCTCAATTAACATGATAATATAGGAAGAGTGGGAGTATAGTAATCAGTAGAAGTATTATGGATGCACTGATCACATTTTGGACATGGAGCAGCTATGAAGAGTAGTCTTAGCAGTAATGCAATGCTGGAAATGAATTAAATCGACGATTCAAATAAATTATAAGAGCCAGCGCCACAGAGCCACCCAGCCGAACCAAGAGAAAATCATGTGGGACAAGCGATAGGCACCACTTGCCAGTAACTTTATATGTGCTAATAGAAAAACCTGCCTTACAGCTAAGAAAAGTTTTGTTCAAGTTAGAATAAAACAGGCAGCAAAAGAAAAAAAATACAGGAATTGCGTTTCAAAAACAGAAATAAAATGCACGAGTATTTAACTAATGTTTTGAGAATAACATTATTCCTGGTAAGAGCAGTTATGTTATTGGAAAGGAAAAGGAGTTTCTCACAGACTTTAAAATTAGATGACTGGGGTCCCATATAAAGACATTAGACAGCTAAAAGTGAGTCTACATCTGTGTATATTTATTATCAATGATGTAATAGCTTAGCACACCTGAAAAAGTGAACAAATTCCCAACAGACGATGCACCAGCAATTGATAATGACTGGTTGCTAAGGTCACATAACTACTTGGAAAGGAGCACTGTTCTCCTTTTATCATGCTATTGCCCCCCACAAGACATTCACAAATGTACCTGACAGTTAAGGTTTTTTAAATAATGAGTGACTTGCAACAACCCATTCTTTCACCGTTAAGTTTCATTTTTCAACACAGTAGTACACCTGACATCCTAATTAAGATAGTGAGTCAATGTTTCGGGTCCACAACCCTTCGTCAGAACCCTTTGTGAACTCTGACGAAGGGTCATGGACTTGTTAACTCACTTTCCTTTCTCCATAGACGCTGCCTGACCTGCTGAGTGTTCCCAGTGACTTCTGTTTTTGTTTCAAAAATGGGGTTCAAATGTGGTTACACCTCCCAAGATACTACTGTGCCTCATAATTAAAAACATACACTGGTACATTAAACTTTTACATACTCAAGAAAATCAGCATGGTTCCGGACACAAGGCCAGAAATTACACCTAACCTTAGCCTGTAAAAGCATTCTGTTGTGCAGAAAAGTGTGAAAATGTCTTAAATTCAGTGTTAATTTTGAACATTTTAAGAGCATTTTAAAATCAACATCCAAATTATGATCGAGTTTATGATTCTGCACTCTCTTAAAATGATTAAGACGAACTAACACTCGGCTCAATTAATTACATGCTTAAGTTTCTTTTCCAATAGCTTCTCTAATGTGAAAAATTATGAAATCTTAATTTGTTGTTGCCCCATATGTTTGGGCAGAGTTTGAGGCAAAGAAGAAAATCTGTCTCTTTATTCCAATGGACAATCCCAAAAATCATGCTCCAGCATAATCTGATGTTTAAGCAGCATATTTTCTACTTAATAAACTAATTGACATCCAGAACTCTTAAAAAAGTCTTACTCATTTATTAAAAGGGTCATATATTTTCAGGCACCTGAGTAGCAGCCTGGTTTTACGTTTATGTAAAGACCAACAGCTAAGAGCATGGGAGTCTTGGTTTAATTACAAAACCACAGGGAAGCCCCCTGAGACTTAGTCACAGGAAAGCTCTTCTGAACAGGCCTATTGCATATTAATCCTGTTAAAATGTTTTCTTCAGGCAGAATTTCAAAGTCCAATATCAGATGGTATCACAGACACCACCTGGAAGGAGCCATTACCGCCAGCCAACTACTTATAAAAACACACACAACCACCAGCATCCGCAAACAAAATAAGGGGAGCAAAGTCATGTGGGAAAAAAAATCAGTCTATTCCCTTCCCGCCACCTGAACTCTCTTATCGCATTTAGATTTTCACAGGACAACTAGGATTGAAATTTGCTTAATGAAACACTTCCAAAATGGTTACATAGGATAATAAGAATCCCTGCATTTGATATAGTGCCTTTTGTGCCAGGAGGACATATCAATAACAACAATATTACATTTGTATAGAGCCATTCACATTGGGAGGACATCGGGAGGGGAAGGGGGGTGGCCGGTGGCATATCAGAGTGTATCACAAAATCTTACTAAGTATAATGACTTATTATGTTGTAGATGAACACGCAGCCAATTTGCACACCGCAATGTCCCATAAATAATGGATGATTTGCCTCAGTGGTCAGCTCTCTGCAGAATAAAACTCTGCATTGGATTTTAGTTACACTGTATTCTGATCCATAAATAAAAGTCATCAATTGCCTTGTCTGTCCCAATGTATTAATGAGTGAGAACCATCGAAGGGTTCAATTGGGGGATCCCTTCTCCGGGGTAAAAAAAATGTGATCACTCAATCCACGTCTGTTTACGGAAAACTACTGTGTGCAAGTGCTGCAGTGTTTTGCCCACAAAATATACAGTCAATTCACTTTACAGAATATTCTGTGAAGCGCTTTGAGATGTCTCAAAGACGTAATAAGGCACTATATCACATGCAAGGATTATCATTATGTGTAGTGACTGTATTTTGTGGGTGAACATGACAGCCAATTTATGCATAGCATAGTCCCCCAAACAGCCATGAAGGGAATGATCAATTTTATCTGGGAATAGTTGACCACGATACTGGGAGAAACTCCTTTCACTTTTTGAGTAATGCCAAGGGAATATTAATGTCTACCTGAACAAGCAAACAACATCTTTGATTCTATGATCTTATCCAAAGGACGGCACCACTACCCATGCAGAACACACACAGCACTACATTGGAGTGTCAGCCTGGCAGTGTGAATTCAAAATCCTGAAGTAGGGCTTGAACCCATAACCTTCTGACTCAGATGCGAGAGTGTTACTGACTCAGCCAGGCTGACACCTATTATACTGAAACAGCTTCTGTAAAAGGTTGAAGTTGAACTATAATTGCTGGAAATAAAAAAAAGTTCTCCGAGACTGCAACTTGCATTTATATAGCACCTTTCCCATAGAACAATGTTTCACAGTACTGACAGTCGACGGGTAAGTGGCAAGCAAGGAGGGGGTGAGGGGGAGTAATTAGGTGACAATTTGCATGGTTAAAAGAGATGGGTTTTATTAGGGACTTGAAGGTAGATCGAGAGGGGGTAATGTAAGGAGTTCCAGAAGTTATGGAGGTAGAATTGAAACGTTTAGCCACCAATGGATATGCAGGAAGCCTAAAATAGCTGAATAAAGACCATCGCTAAAATAACCAAATGTCACATCTGCATCTCGTAACCACTCCTCAAAGCAAAATCAGTGCTACACTTGGCAGCCACGTCTTTGCTCTGGAACCATAAAAAGAAACTGTTAAAAATTCCAATTCCTACATAACACTAAATGTCACCGTTTACTCAATTAGTGATTTCAAAACAAAATCATCACTGGATTACAAAAAGAATTGTTTTTTGAAGGATAAGTTATATGTAAATAATTTTAAAAGGCTTAACATGCTCTGTTACACTTACATGAAGAAGTAATCACAGAAAGTGATCATACCATGTCCGGAATTCCCAGAAGTACTATGTGCGTAAATTGTTGATGCTTGTTGATGGTGTTTGATGTGATCGCATTGTACACGTAACAAAATGCTGGTGACTTCACCTCTCCATGTTTTGCAGTTTAAACTCCAGCCCCTACATGATAACGAACTGGAAAGATTAAATCTTACCAGTGTTGGTTTTGTTCTCATTCCAAAAGGCAATTGAGATAGTGTACAACAGAGTTTACCAGAACATTTTGAGCTGGGTGTTTGACATACGTTTGACCATGTTTATCTATCTCCAGAGAGTTTAGGCACTGGTTGGCTGGCTGTTTTGTAACCCTATTATGCCTATTTGCCTATTTCTTTTACCACCTTTTCCACAGAAAGAATCGTGACATGCATGGTGAGGATATATACAAAGTTACTTTGTACGATCTTACCTCCTGGACAATGCCTTTTTGCCATTTTGCACCTCCTGGATTCTGCAACGGTTGGGCAGGGTATTGTGTCTTTTGCTGGCTTTTTCACGATTTGCCGTGTTCTGGTCTCAAGTCCCCACTTGTAGCCACACGTCTTGTTGTTCTTTATGCACGTTCCCCAGTTGCTCCACTGTCCTACCTCACAACCATCTGATAAGACACAAACACACCAACCCATTACAATTTGAATATGTCCATAGAAAATAAATATTTCTCTCTCTCCCCCTCCCTTCTCCCCTCCCCCTCCAACGGTGGGTTACAGTTTTTGGTCCACAGTGCAAGATCAAAAGGAACCAACTCAAAAGTAAGGCTCGAGTTAACAACACTGTAGTTTACAACAATGTAGATGTAACACCCTTTTGAAAAGCAATCCTAACTCATTTCTTAATCTTCCACAATATCATAATAATAAGTAGCCACACATCTTATTGTTGTTACGCATGTTCCCCATTACAATTTGAATGCACACAAACACATAAAACTAATTTATATCTTGTGCATTAACAAAACAATTGCAATTAGCCAAGAGTGTGATTTTTTTAAAAAAGCATTAATTGGAATTTTGTTTTTGGTAATATACAGTAAACTCACATACGTCGTATCAGTCAGAGCCATAACATTTAATGTGATTTACACAAAGTCAGAGTTGCAGGCAAACTTGCTTAAATCATATCAAATCCGATGTAATCAATAATCTATAGTGCACATGCATAATTCAATGCAGCTGGTATATGTGTATGGAATGATGGGCCAAGGCTATGTTTCCTACGACTCAATGCGTCTCGACCCGTCCACGCATGTGCACTTACCGACAAGCATTAAAATTGCATTGAATCGTGGGAAATGATGTTCTTCCATGCATGCGATGACGGATCAAGACATCATTACAATGCAGCCGACTTGTAAATGCCTGCTCGTCGACAGGTCAGGACCTAATATCTCTCAATTCAATGCAGTCGGTAAGTGTGGGAGTAATGGAGAGTAGAGGAGATGGGAAACTGAATTGGATTCGGCTCATCTGCATGTACGACTTAGGCGTTTAAGTGATTTATAAAGATAACACTTATGCATGTTTTACTGTAGTAGAACCCCATTATAATATGGCTATAATCTCTCAGGCCTCACATTATAACAAAGCTCCAAATTCCGTATCATCAGGTCACCATTGATGGCACTTGATGCATGTTGCACGCACACACAATAGCTTCCTGCACTAAATTCTGCTAACTTCTGGGTCTTTGAGCTGCCACAGTCACTTCCTGAAGACTGTGTATTATGCTGCTGATGTCAAACAACACCTGCATGAGCAACAAGTGACAGTGGCAGCCATGTCGCCTGACGACCTGAATGTCAGCTATTTTGTAGCACACAGAACCCAGCCCAGCTTCTGTGTGCTACAAAATGGAACTGGCACAGTAAGAGCCAGCTTAGCATTTTGTACAAAAGTCTTTGCTGAAGCACATCTCACAATTTTCTATTCTACATCCTGGAAAGGAATAAACGACCAGTATTAATAAAATATTATAACAAAGTTTTTCTGTATAACTGATCCTGTAACTGGTCATTTGTGAAATAATTTATTACATCAGTAGATTAATATAGTTACTCTTTCAAGTTCCACAATGACCCATCTGAACTACTGCAGACAAGTCCAAGATATAAATAAAGCGAGTTAGAATGATCCATATCGAAAACCATAGAAACAGGATGCTAATTTCCTCCATTGGAAAAACAATGAGTCTCTCGGTGCACAGAATTTCAACTACCACTCAATTTAACCAAATGAAACACGAGGTATTCATAAATGTTAAATAAAACCAGCTGCTTGAAACATATACGCCTTTTCTGTAATAGGTGTTACATGAAATCACTTACCCACACATTCCATGTTATCTTCCAATGGCACAAACCCTTCAGGGCAATCTTCAAAGCAACGGCCTTTGTGTAAGTAAGAGCCAGCTTTGCATTTTGTACAAAAGTCTTTGCTGAAGCACATCTCACAATTCTCTATTTTACATCCTGAAAGGAATAAAAGACCACCATTAATAAGATATTAGGCAGAGGTGCAATTTATTCCTGCAAATATTATTTTCATCCTCCAGGATTAAAATGTAACAGTACAAAATTCATCATCAGGTACTGAAATGAAAAGCAGCTGCCAGGCACACTACAGTCAGCTGTCACCACCTACATGTCTAATCAAAACCTATTCCTGCTACATGGAAACGAATGATTTCTGCTACCTCATATTACACAGACGAGAGAAGACAGTTCTCTGGATTTTTATTGCCACAGCAATTTAGAAGCAAAACGGGAAGCTGTGCACAGCTGTAGGTTAGATGTCACACCCAAGACTTGGGTGGAATCCAGACCAATGTAGGAATGTCTCTGACTCTGTGGGCTGCAATTCCCAAATGACATGCACCCACAAATGAAATGTTCGATTTATGCCTGTTTTTTTCCTGCAGAAAGCCAGCAGACAGCTCATGGTCAAACATTAGAGAAAGTTTCTCGGTGGTTGGCATTCAGGAAAGGCACTGGCAGTATAAAGCAGTCTCATCTTTCACTTAACGGACGTAACAACCAGATCTGGAAACTTCATTGGCCACAAAAAGAGCAAACCCTTCCATTGCCTGGTCTATCCCTCCCTCACGTGGGAAGAAAGCAAACATTTAAAGCCCATTTCTCATCTCACTTGGAACGTGATCAAATTGAGAATCATTCCTCGAACCATTGTGAAATGGTTTCAATTAAAAGTCCATAAAGGACATGCATGTTGCACCATTTGAAAGTTAAACATTTTAAATCCTTTAAGTAATTCAAAGGTATTTAAAGGTTCATTGTTTTTTTTGGGGGGGTTCATTTGATCTGTAAAGGAAATAAATAATAAAGTGATTGGTGTGTTTGGTGCACCACACAATACAACAGTATAATTTGTTGATCCAATTATGGTAGTTGAGAGGGTGATGTGGGGGCAGGGGTCGGTGGGGAATGGTGTCAAAACTGGATCCAAAAGATTGGCTGGAAAGTAGTAGTGAACAAGCATTGATCATGGAAAAGTTAAATTCTAGGGGGATCTCCATGGAGTCATTGTCTCAAAGATCATGCAGTCACCCATAAGACATCCACACCATTTAACAACCAGATGCAAACCATTAGAATATCAAGTGGGAGCAAACTTGATCTGGATAGGTTTTTGTATTCCACAACCACAGATGTGATCCTACATTTTAAAAGAAAATAATAAATACACAAGGAAGAAATAAAGGAAATCCCTCAAGAACATTTTCCTCCTTCTGCAATTCCAAGCAGTGTCAAGGCGAGGGTCAGGAATATAGCAAAAATATCCACCAGAGTTTCTTCTCCCAAATAATATCTTATGACTCTTTGTGGGTAAAGGGCACGGATGGATCGAGAGTATAGATCTGGCTGAATGCCCTCTACAGTCAATAGCCCACACTACTCATCACCGAGACTCAAATGGGCAAGGTGCTGGAGGGTGCACAACATCTAAGAAGTCTTACCTCAACACAAGTCAGCACCTTCTGGAGAAAAGAAAATAGACAACTATGAATAGCAAGTTTCTTGGCTCCAACTTCAGACATGACAAGAAATCCAAGCTTCTTGAACATGACAAGGGCATGATATATAGCCACCTCAAGCAACCTCAAGGCAGGAGCGAGGCTCAAATCAACGTCAAAGCAAGAAACCTGATCTTAAACAAACCCTTGAACTGTGAAATCCTGTCATTCAGCAGAGGAGTGAAAGTAGCACCTCAGCTAATACCCTGTGACAGTGAAAGCTCACAGAATGTAGGCACCTCTCAGCATGTGGAATAATGGGGAGGTGGATCCCAAGATAGTTGAGTAGAGAATATCTAATGACAGAGCCAGGTGACATTGCATTTTCACACTTGGTCACAAGATGCAATATCACTGCATATGCTACATGACCAAATTAGCCATCCAGTCATCAAGATGGAATTGTAACATTCATTGGAACCACATGCAACACTTTGTATAGTTTACAACAGAGCTTCCGTTGGTACGGTTGGGCATAAATCTCAGCCTTAGAGCAGAAAGAAATAGATAATCGCCATCAGTTGCCTGCCATGAAACATCATCAGATCCTCTGCTAACTTGTATTTTAAAATGAACAAATGCTGCGACAAGCAGCAATAATTACCTACAAAGTATCCAGCTGCTGTCTCTGTGCCAATACCTTTATAAGCCTTACCAGTCACATTGATGAGGAGCTCCTTATTGGACAGCAGTAAATTAAGGTTTACAACACTAATAAATCCAAGTTGAACAAAAGCTGAAACCTTGGAAATCCACAACAGGGCACCCAGCATCCAAAAGAGACTGACTGGTTAACTGAGCTCTCCAACAATTCAGGTCCTGATTGGAAAAGAGCTGCTCTAGATTTTCGGTGGTTTGGGTTTCAGATTTGTGTGGTCCTCTTTTGAAATCAAAGAATTGTGTTTGGTTCAATTTTTAAATAAGAAACTAAAGTAGGAAGGGGGATCCTACTTAAAAGAACTTACAGAGAACTGACTCAAGACTATTGAAGAATTTGCCAAAATCAGCAAGCATTGAAGAGTTGAAAAAAAAAGCAAAGCAGGACCCACATTTGTTGGTCAAGATACCTGGAGAAACTCCCTTCACTTTTGAATGGTGTCAAACGATCTTTAATGTTCACCTGAACAGACGGATCGGGCCTCAATTTAATTTCCCATCCTTAACCTAACACGTGCCGTAATCCAGCATTATCCTAGTATTGCTTTACAGCGTTACCCTTTACTCTGCTCACATTCTGTTGAACGGCTTGAACCCACAACCTTTGACAAAGACAAAAGTTCTATCACCTGAGCCAGACTGACACTTTAGGCAATGTAACTAAAGAAATAAGGGACAATGGATGCCAACTATTATTGTACAGTACATGAATATATTAATCCCATCAATGGGATCTGTCAAATAGACTCTTAATTTAATATGCTATGAAGCAACACTATAGCTTTATTTAAGGACTGAAGGTCTTAAATTAATTCAAGTTGTTCAATTTCAAAGGAATAGTTCCATAGTAGTTCATTTTGTAAATTGGATTGAGGAACGATTACACTTCATTTTCAGTAATGGGTGACGAGCAAGACATTTTCAATGAAGATGGTCACAATTTTAGTCCTTTCCAAAAGAAAAAAGGAACTGCTGTGGAGCTGAGGCAATAATAGTACTTCATGAAAATTACAGTTGGAATTTTACTGATATCGTAACACTTTTTGGTCTTATTACTCCCATCACATTGACAGGTGAGTGCCAATAATTTATTTTAAAATCTAACCATTGAACCAAATGTAACTATGCAGTTTCTTATCATGTAGAACCCAGTTATGTTTCTTGGTAATTTTCCCAGATGGGTTCCCAACACCTTGAGATGACGTGAAAGGTGCTTTACAAATGTAATTTTGTTGTTGTTGTTCAACCTCATCCATTAGGGCTTTGCCTCTCAGGGAATAGGCATTGTCTGGACCTCAACCTCTCATTAAACAGCCAGAAAGGCTGGTAAAGTAAACAATGCCAAGACAAGATCATTTATTTTGATGCATTTCAACTACAGGAATTATTTTCATTTTAAAAATAGTCCCAGTTGTTTTTTTAAACAATTTACATTTTTTTTTATTTTATCCTCCAAATGAGGATACAAGCCAAGAATCTTCTTGTTGCACATGCAGTGCTCAACACAGAGTGTTGAGTACTCCAAGACTCACAATGCATTGCTTTGGATCCATCCATTTTTCAGCAGAAAGGATGGACAGGCAACCTGATCTCAGGCCCTTGGTAATGCTGTTACAATTCACCACCAGGGGGTGTGCAAGTATTATTTAGAGTAACTGATTTCCAATGATCACACCCCTCAACTAAAGCGTCACAGCCCCTGCTCAGACCCTACTGTCACCTTTGCCAGACTCTTTCTTATTGTCATATGAACAATCATTGGTATGAACCTCTACTACTATTGGTAGCTTAGAAATGATTAACTGCGCTATTATTTAATGCAAATATTTCAGTAAGAATATTGGTATACGCTAGGCTGGTAAAAATTGGGAGACGAGGGGAATGGACGAAGCGAACATCACACAGTTATAAGACCTTTTTAGCCAAATAGTTAACTTGCGTGGTTGTTTTTTTTCATTGAAAAAAATTCTCAAGATGTTGTTCATTTTAAGAATCAAAGCATTTCCAGTTTCAGATTGGTTGTTTGAATTGCGGCTTTCCCATGTAAAGGGCGCAATACAAGTGTAATTTGTTGCTGTTAGATGCAGAGTTAAGTTAAGAGTTAAGCTTCTTCTACTCTGCTCCAACCACAGAAAGCATCAACATTCTTGTGTCATTTGCTACTCTATAGACTCTCTGCGCAAGATTGCCAGCCCAATATCAAATCGAGAGTTTTGTTTCTTGAAACCACCTGATCTTATCAAATAGGACCTTTCAGTCATCCAGAGGGTATGGGTATGGTGGAGGTGAGGGTGGAGGAGAAGAGCTGATAGCTATTCTCTCACAACACTTCAATCAAAAGCAAAATGGATCTTCCTACTCTCTCATTCGCATACATCAATGCTGACATTGCACATTTGGCAAGATTTGCACTTCGAACACCACTTATCTGTGCAATTAGGTTCGGTTATGAAGCCTTTACAGATAAGCTGCAAAAAAGCCAACATCTTATTAATAATCTCTGTAGTTCACATTTTTATGCAAGTAAAAAAGTAATTCTCAGGAAACCATTCAGATTACACAGATTATAATCCATACGTTTACATATTTTCATCTAACTCTAGAATTTGTCAAAAGGTAACAGCACATCTAAAGCAACCCAACGTTTCTTGATTTAATACAGCAAAATAAGACTTACTTGCACATCTGTTCATCTCAGGAGCACGTAGACCATAATATCCTGATGGGCAAGAATGCAAGCACTCTCCATACTGTCGCATTCCTTCTCGCTGAAGGAAAAAGAACAACTTCTGCTGGCAGCTGAGACATCCATTATCCTTCGAGCAAAGCAGGCAGCCTTTACAGATTGGGTATGGTCCAGAGTTTGCTTCAAAAAGAGAAGGCCAATAGAACAGTCAGTTTGCATGGGAGTTTAGATAAGAGGGTCAAAAATTTCTAAATCTAGTGATTTTTGGTCTTACTTATAAAAAGAATCACACACAATTTTTGGCTTAAAAACAGAAATTTTAACTCAAAATAAAGACCTAGACACAAAAGATGAGCTGGTTTAATAAAATACACTTGTGCACCTAAAGACAAAACAAAACGAGTAGCGTGTTTTATATCAGGCATTTAGCAGGTGTGGGTATCTACGTGGATCTATGGCTGAAATTAATGCAGAGTAGAAAAGCCAATAACAGAATAGAGAGTGGAACGCCCAGTCGAGTACGGTGGTGGAGGCAGAGTCCATTGTAGCCTTCAAGAGGGAAATAGATTTTTTTTCTGTGAGATGATGCAGGCTTGATAGACTGAATTGCCTCCTTCTGTGCTGTAGATTTCTATGTCTCTAAGGCAGTGTTGTTTTTGTATACTTTTCACCCAGAAAATATAGTCAATGCACATTACAGTATATTCTGTTATAAATGTTTATAGTATATAGATGTTTCAATGATGTAATAAGGTACGATATCAAATGCAAGTATTATTATTATAATAATAGAGAGGCATATGAAAGAGGGAGTTTAAAGGGGTATGGAGATGAGATGGGCAGTGGGGTTGAAGTAATATCTTCGCTGTGTGAGGTGGTGCAAGCTTGATGTGTCAAACAGATTTCTGTGCTATGTTTCTGAGGCAGTGTTTTTTTTCTCCCTTGTATCCATTCCCTGCCAGTTCAGTGGTGTCATGAATGAATGCTCTGGCAGACTTGGTAATGGTAAGAGGAGATAGGTGGCGAGGGCAGAGGAGAAAGGAGAAGCTTTGGGTTTCCTTGGCAGTCTAGGAAGCACATCTGTTTAAAAAAATGATAAAAGAAGATTGGACGGTGTTTTATCAATGGTCAAAAAAGCAGAGTTCAGTTTAGGTTTCAGCCTTAGTTCCAAGTCATCAATAATAATTTTAAATTTTAAAGATTAAAAAGTGGTGATGGAATCATTTTACTAAGGTCAGAATACAATGCGTTGAGGAGCCTCTCCATTAACTTAATGTCCAGATGGACAGAATAGGTTTGAACAGACACACATTTTTCAGATTACAAGCTTCACAAGACTCATCACACGGCACACTAAAGGAGTAACATCACTGCAGTTTGTGAACTTTGCGGGTTTTCCTTTTTCCTACCACCCACTCCACAACAATTTATATTTAGATCACTATTAATGTTGTGACTTCTCAAAGAGTTTCACAAGGCTGAAAAGAAGCCCAGGTTGAGGGTGGGGGCGTGGTGCGGGGAAGGGTAGGAAAGGGAGCTCCCCTAAAAGGCTCCCAAATAAACTTTTGCTGTAAATTTTGAATTCCTTTATAGAGTTTACAAGTACATGTTTTGAGTATAAAAGCACGAGGGGGGATGGGGATCAGAATGTATCATTGGGAAGGGAACCGAGTTACGCAGTGGAGGAGGAGAGACAAATAGAAATGAAACAAGGAATAGTTCAGCAAAAAGTGGAAAGAGACAGAGGAGAAATGTAGAGTGGATTAAGCCAGTCTTGGAGTGCATGTGTATAAATGCACGAAGCGTGACCAATAAGCTTGATGAGCTGCAGGCTCAAGTTGCCACATGGGGCTATGATGTAGAAGCAATTACGGAGACTTGGGTCAAGCAAGAACAGGAATGAGAGCTGAATATTCTTGGCTACAACCTATTCAGGACGGATAGGGAAGGGAAAAAAGAAATAAGGGTGGCATACTCATTAGGGACATGGTCACGGTCCAGGAAAAGGACGAGGTGTTAGAGGGTCTAAAAACTGAATATATTTTGTTAGAGATACGGAGCAGAAAAGGAGCTGTTACTCTGTATTCTGTTAGGTGTTTTCTACAGACGTCCAAATAGTGGGAAGGAGATAGATGAGCAAATCTGCAAGCAGGTTTCGGAGAGATGCAAAACCAATAGAGTAGTGATAATGGGGGATTTCAATTATCCTAACATGAACTGGGAAACACACAGTGTAAAGGGCAAGGAAGGGGAAGAATTCCTGAAATGTGTTCAGGAGAACTTTCTGGATCAGCATGTTTCCAGCCCAACGAGGATGCAGTGCTTAATCACATTGCTGAGACATTACAAAGCGCTGTTAAGGTCATTCTTGGCGTGATTAGTAAAAGCACCTGAACACGAAAAGTAGATAATAATAATACTTGCATTTGATATAGCGCTTTATCACATTTTTGAGATGTCTCAAAGCATTTAATTGCACAAGGTAAATTAATTAGATGTTCATTTATGGTTCTGACAAAAAATTCCTTCTTTCAGGTTAACATGCTCATAGTACTGCTGCATGTGATCTCTCAAGTTATTTAGTCATAAATTGTTTATACGCTGCACAAGTAACATATCTGAGCGGATATAAAATATCAAGATCATAAATTATGTAAATACTGAGGTTGTGTTTGACTGGTTTGTGAACTTACTCACGCCACGGTACAGTGTTGCGGTGGCTTCAACGCACAACATTCTGATTTTAAGATCTATTTCCCCATGAATTCTCTCCATCCAAAGGAGTGCTGAGAATGTGGAAAACATCATGCAAAGTATGGGAGGGTGAAAAGGTCGACAACAACCTTCCCAATCATTTTACTATCTTATCGTCTTCTAAAGTCCCAAATTCGTTTACTGATTTTTTTTCTAAGAAGATTCATGAACCTTAGAAATATGGTATGTTTTTCATTTGTAGAAGCAAATTCCGATTAGGAATTAGGATCCAGATGATGAGATGTCGATGACGCACAATAAAACCAATGGAATGTCCACCTTGCCACATTCACCCTTAATTCGCAAACCACCTTCATGGCTTTATTAGCTTGTCCGTTTGTGTTAAAATGGAACACAGAAAATGATGCGTCAATGGACATAAAAATATTGTGGCCTCATTTGTATGCTACAAATCTGTGCAGCAAGTAATATTTTAGAGGTGATGAGGTACAGGAGGATAAATTTCCTCTCCCTCCCTCCTATGGGCCTTCACAACATCAACTTTATGGCTTGCATTCATCTGCCAACACAGCCAAATTCAAAAGGGAAGTTTTTATTAAGAAAAGCATTACAACAGACTTCAGACTAGTAAATCACTTTTAGAATATTTTGATAGGTGGGCGTGGATTTGAAAAAAGAGGTAAAATATGTTGAGTCTTCATCTTTTAAACTCAGTCCCAAGCTCATACTGAGGAGTGAAAAACTTCTCATTTTGGTTGCATTCAACACCACAAGTGAGCTTGGCAATTTAATAAAATAATAGATATGGCACCTCATCATACAGCTAAAACGTCTTAAAGCACTTCACGGTATTTACTGTAAGGTGTAGTGACTGTGAATTTGTGGGTAAGTTTTCTGTAGACACAGATGGAAGCATTGAGCTTGGACTGATAGGCGGACATCTCCTCATGAGCGAGTTTTACTGCAATTTACTGCAGAGAGAATTATGCATAAATTGTCCATTATTTGAGGATTTCTGGCTCACTCTGGCTACAAGGATTCCACATAGACACCAATTCAGGAAGTACAGGATAGTAGACTGAAGGTGGAATCAAAAAACAATGTAAAAGAAACCAGGAAGGGAGCTGGATTGCATCAAGCTTTTGCGGTGTACTAGATCAGGAGGTTCTGGTGCAGACACTGGATATAATCAGTTCTCCAAAGGACAAGCATCCCTCACCTTTAGTAGCTGTAGACATACAGCACGGTTTTCAGTTCTGAGACTTTCCACATAACTAGGTGAAAAATGGGATATGTCATGTACACATCACATTTTTCATCTTAATGCAATTTCTTCTTGAACTGGAAGTCTCCTTGATGCACTGAGGTTGATGCAAAGCACAGGCACTGCATCAAAGCACTGCCAGACAGTCAACCATATTGTTGATTTGTATTTAGACTTTGCAGCTACATCTTCAGTTTTACGGATCTGCACCTAACTGAAACGGTCATTGCCAGTCAAGCCCCTGCAATCAGGATTATACTATAGGTAAATGCACCGTTCCAATGTAACGCAACCAGACTCCAAAGAAGGTCCCAGGTTTGATCCCTGGTCTGTGCTGAGTAACCTGTAGGAAGTGTTACAATTGATCCATTGTTTGTTGGTTTGTGGAAAAGTTGAAGATCACAATCCAATGACGCCTGCTGGAAAGTAAACCTCTATGGCCATGAGATGGGGACAATACTTGGGTAATGTCAAATAGACAATCACCATATGTCCTTGTGTAAAAGGAACTCAAGGAACAGGAGGAGGCCATTCAGACCATTTGCCTGTTCTGCCCTGATTATCAGAACATGGTAGATATTTTAATCCTATGTCCCTATCTTTTCTTCTTGCCCTTACTTCCCAAGCATCTTCTTACACCCGTTTCAAAACACCCCAATTAATTTTGAACACGTGAAGCAAGGTATCAGAGAAGCCCCCACTCCCTCCAGCACCCCCAGTATCCATACCCCAGAATGAGTCAGGTGTTCAGGAAAAAGAAAAAAAGGGGGGGATGGGTTAGAAAGGATACCTTTGGACTATTTCTATTCTAAAGTTTTGGTGCAAAGGTAGCAGTTCAACACATCACTCGAGCAATCATTTCTGGCTTCCTTCAATTCCTTGGGAAAAAGACCTATCCCTCTCTCTCTCTCTTCACCCAGTCAGTCAAACTCCCACAATATTCAGCAGTGGAACAACTACATACCAGGCTGATTAAATAAATAATGGGGTAGATGGTAAGTGTTGTTAAGTACAGCAAGGAATCATTTGTGTAATCAATCCAGCAAATTTAAACACCATCTGCTTCTTCTCTGGAAACAGCTGTACTATTCTGTCAGATTTGTTAGTGTGATCGGTGCAACATGTAGGACCAAAACAAACTTTTACTTGCCCAAAATGTTAAGCATTACTGATCAACATCCATCCTATATAATATAAAAAT